TCTGTCCTGGCTCTTACTCCAGGTGTAATTTGGTGATGCTCCCTTGGTGACATTCTCCTTGGCTGGGGAAGACCCTGTTGGAGTCACGCTGGGCATGGAGGCCACAGGGCAGCAAGGATACATGTCTTGTCCTGGCAGCTGGCCCTCAAGTCCTGTTGTGTCCATGGTGACTCACCTGCAGAGTCCTGTGGAAAGAAGTAAGTGGCATGAGGCCGGGCACAGTGGCTCACGCCTCTAATCCCAGCACTTTGGGAGACCAAGGAGGGCAGATCACCAGAGGTCAGGAGTTCGAGACCAGCCTGGCCAAGATGATGAAACCCGTCTCCACTAAGAAGACAAAAAATTAGCCAGGTGTAGTAGTGGGTGCCTGTGGTCCCAGCAACTCCGGAGGCTGAGGCAGGAGAATCACTTGAACCTGGAAGGTGGAGGCTGCAGTGAGCTGAGATCATGTCACTGTACTCCAGCCTGAGCGACAAGAGGGAATCTCCGACTCAAAAAAACAAAAAAAGGAAGTGCCATGAAGTCACCCCTGAAGTCACCCTGTTTGTCTCATTCCCAAACCTGTCCCTTATGATCTTAACCTCCTCACCTTCAGTTAGGGCCCTGGGGAAATCCCATGACCTCTGAGCCTCAGTTTCCTCAACTACAAACTGGTAACAACAACAGCTCATATTTTGAAAGGTTGAACTGATCCACATAAAGTGCTCAGAAAGGAACATATCATCCTCTTTAACAGCTGAAGAAACTTTTCTGTCTTGTAAGTTGCAAGCTAGGAGCCAAACCCCGCTCTTGGGCCAACTCTGGGGCTTAACCAGACAATTTATTTTTGCCTTGTACCAAATTCCTATTCATCTTGCAAAGCCCTAGCCACAGTGCCCTCTGTCAGGCAGCCTTGTGTGATGGCCCAGGGAAGAGTTTGCAGGACCTCCTTGGGTCCCGGTATCTGACGGTATTGTGGGTCTGGCTGCCTGCAAGCCAAGGGTTTCCCAGGGACCAGGGAAGGAGCCCTACCGTGCCTAGCAGCTCACTCCGCATCTCGCTGGTGTATCGCGCCCGTGATTGCAGATGCACCGTCTTTGTGGCGGGCACTCGCTCTCTGGCTGTGGTTGGTACACGGCCAGGGGCCAGGAACTGGTTGGCCAGTGCTTTCTCTGAGGAGGTGGTCTGCAGAAATGTGGGAAGAGATGTCACTGGTGGGGCAGGTCCTGGGGACCAAAGTAAGCAGTGATGGGGTCTGAGCGGGCAGGGACATCCCTGCTCACCAGCTTCTCGGCCTGCAGCATCCCCTTCAGAAAATCCACCTTCCAGGAATATTCATTGATCACCTCAGAGGCCGGTTTGCTAGAAGCCAGGAAGAAGAAAAACACCTGTCCACGGTCCCCAGCTCAGGGAAGGGTCCCAGCTGGGACTGCGGTCCTGGGATGTCCCAACAGAACAGCCACGTGCTGATATGAAAGCCCTGAGGCTGCCTGCACTCACCTCGCGTGGACCTTCAGAGCCTGCAGCATGTCCTCCAGGGCTCCCACGTACTGGGGAGGAAAAGTGGATTCTCACCCGGGGGTCCTTCCCAGGTCCTGCTCATTGGAGTCAGAGGGGGGCGGGGCCAGAACCGAGGCAGGGCCGACAAATGGGGAGGGGTCAAGCGTAAAGGAGTCAGGGCCAGTGGGGGGAGGGGCGGGGTCCCAGGGACGGGGGCGGAAGCTACAGGTGGACGTGGCAGGACTGACCGGAAAGGGCGCGGCCGGAGATCCTCTTGGGGCTGGGGAGTTGGGCCAGATGGCTTCCAACCCTAGGAACCACCCCTGCGTGAGTCGAGCTCTACGCGGCAGTGCCAGATCCCCTCACCTTCTCCAGGCGCCACTCGTCCGGGTCTCGTTTCTCCGCTGCCATCGCCTCGCAGCGGGATAGCAGGCGCACCAGGTTCAGCTCCAGCCTTGACGCCGCCATTATTGCCAGGCCGTGTCCCGCCCCTTCCGCCGGCGCCATGTTAAGGGAGGGCGGAAATGCCTTCACGTGGTCTTCTGGGCCGACGTGTTTCCCCTGCTCCCGTTCGCTGGCCCATGTTTGTTTGGGGCGGAAGTAGTATCTTGTTTTGATGCGGGGCTCTGGGCCGGGAGGGGTGGTTCAGGGCTGTAATCCCAGCATTTTGGAAAGTGGAGGTGAGAAAGGATCGCTTGAGGCCGAGAGTTCGAGGCCAGTCCGGGCAACGTAGTGCTATCCTACCTCTATTATTAAAAAATAGGAGAGGCACTACCCCATTCTTCCTTACTCATGGTTTTCCTGGAGAGCGTGTTAACCCTTCGAGAATGATCGGAGGACCGGAGTCTTCGGGTGTCAGACCCGCGTGCAATGTGCTCTCTTGTTCTAATATGCCTGCTCAAAGTACCTTCCCCCACCCCCACTCCTGCCTAGATTCTTCTCTGACGGAGGCGTTTCGCCTCCACGCGCCATTCCCAATTTCGTTCCTTTTTTTTTTTTTTTTTTTTTTTTTTAAAAGATGTTCCTTTTTTTTTTTTTTTTTTTTTTTTTTGCGATGGAGTTTCTCGCTTTGTTGCCAGGCTGGAGTGCAGTGGCACGATCTCGGCTCACTGCAACCTCCGCTTCCCAGGTTCAAGCGATTCTCCTTCCCTCAGCCTCTCGAGTAGCTGGGATTACAGGTGCCTGCCACCATGCCCAGCTAATTTTTGCATTTTTAGTGGAGACGGGGTTTCACCATGTTGGCCAGGATGGTCTCAATCTCTTGACCTCGTGATCCACCTGCGTCGGCCTCCCAAAGTGCTGGGATTACAGGTGCCAGGTACCGCTCCCGGCCCGATTTCTCATGTAGGAGGGGCTGTAGCTTGGGATTTAGGAATCCAAGGCTTCCCCCACCTCAGAGGGGCTCGTCTGTATTGTTGTTATGAGTTTCCAGATCGCAGCTCCAGCTCTGACTCCATCCCTGGCCCTGGGTGAGTTTAACTTTTTTGGATCCGTTTCTTCTCCCCGGGAAATGGACAGTGTGTCAGTACCTCCCTCAAGGGGGACATGAGCCAGCTTTGCCTGAGAGTGAGCAAGGTGGGGATGGGTCCCTCCTAACGCCCAAACCTCCATGGAGAGAACTTCCGAGCCCACCTCAGTACCGGGAAGCTGAGTACCCCTGCGCCTGCACTGTCACTCTTCTGGACTGACAGGGTGAGGATGGGGGCTTCACAGGGATCAGCGCCTGGCATGCAGCCCTCATCTTTTCCCACACCTTAGGTCATCTGTACCTTGTCACACCAGTGGGCCTGATGTCCTTGGAAAATACTGGGCAAGGTGGATGGGCAAGGTGGCTCACGCCTGTAATCCCAGAATTTAGGGAGGCTGAAGCGGGTGGATTATCTGAGGTCAGGAGTTCGAGATCAGCTTGGCCAACATGGTGAAACCCTGTCTACTAAAAATACAGAAATTAGCTGGGTGTGATGATGGGAGCCTGTAATCTCAGCTACTTGGAAGGCTGAGGCAGGAGAATCACTTGAACCCGGGAGGTGGATGTTGCAGTGAACTGAGATCACGCCACTGCACTCCAGCTGGGGCAACAGGGTGAGACTGTCTCAAAAAAAAAAGAAAAATGCTGGGTCGGGCGCGGTGGCTCACGCCTGTAATCCCAGCACTTTGGGAGGCCGAGGTGGGTGGATAACAAGGTCAAGAGATTGAGACCATCCTGGTCAACATGGTGAAACCCCATCTCTACTAAAAAGCACAAAAGAAAATTAGCTGGGCATGGTGGCGCATGCCTGTAGTCCCAGCTACTCAGGAGGCTGAGGCAGGAGAATTGCCTGAACCCAGGAGGCGGAGGTTGCGGTGAGCCAAGATTGCGCCATTGCACTCCAGCCTGGGTAACAAGAG